GAACGGTACGACCAGAACGAACGGGCGAGACAGGACGCGACGCAGGCTCACGACGCGTAGCAGGACTGCCTGTCTGCTCAGTGTAAGGAGAGGGAGCAGGTAGCGGTGAGCCAGTCTGTAACGGAAGACCAGTAGACGACGGGAGAGTAAGAACCTGACGAAGAGCAGAGTCAGGCGGCGGCAGAGACGACGGAGACGGCGGAGCGAAGAACAGTCGTGTCGGCGCAGCTGCACCAGTACCGGCAGCTCCAGCAGCTCCAGTGCCTCCAGCAGCTCCAGTACCTCCAACAGCTCCCGTACCTCCAGCAGCTCCAGAAGCTCCAGTCCCAGAGCCGACACCCCCAGTCCCAGGGTCTCCAACCTCTGTGTCTCCAGCAGCAGCACCCCCAGAACCAGCACCTCCAGTCCCAGGGTCTCCAGCCTCAGTGTCTCTAGCACGAGCACCTCCAGAACCAGCGACTCCAGCACCTCCAGTAGACAAAGGACCAGCACCACTCCTAGCTCCAGCAGCGCGACGCTGACGGCGACCGTACCAGTCCTGCAGCTGCTGTGGGGTGAGAGGCACACGTGGACGAAGGTGGCTACTCCAAGGAGACCGCGCAACAGCAGACTCAGAACCCTCAGCGCCCGCACCCCCAACGGCTCCAGAACCTCCGGTGTCAGTACCCTCAGCACCTGTACCTCCAGCGCGAGCACCCTCAGCAGCTCCAGAACCTCCAGCTCCAGCGCCACCAGTACTAGGCCCTCCAGCAGCTCCCGAACCTCCAGCGCCAGCACCCTCAGTAGCTCCAGAACCTCCAGGGGTGATAAAACTGCCAACCAGGCGCGTCAGGGACAAAGCCAAGGAAGACACAAGGAACAGCGCGGGCGGAGAGCTTGTCCGCGGTGGTATCGCGGACAAAGGCACGAGCACCCCAGACCCGGAAACGCGACGCATCGCCAACCTTCCCCGTCCACAGCAGTGTGGGCGAGGTCTCCGGCAAGGAGACACGGGGCCAGAGGTTGAGCTGATGCGCGGCGTACCGGACCGCAAACGGCCACAGGAAATGGGGGGCAGCCGCATGGATCATGGAGGTACGAGCAACCTCCATGACTAAGCCAATGCGGCGCTCAGCAACCCCATTCTGCTGTGGAGAGGCCGGAAGCGTGAACGACTGGGTGATGCCGTGCTCCGCACAGTAGGCTGCCAAGAGGTCTGAGGAGAACTCACCACCTCTGTCAGAGTGCAGACGGAGGACAGGAAAGTCCCGCCGGAACCGCTCGCGGAGCTGGAGACGAACAGTGCGGATCCAAGGGATCAAAACATCAGGGACGTCCCCCTTGCTCTGCAAGGGGAAGACCGTGGTGTAACGCGTGTAGTCGTCGACGACCAGCAGGAAGTACCGCTCGCGGCCCTGTCCCTGGACGCGGGCTGGGCCCCACACGTCCAGGTGGAGCGTCTGCAGTGGAGCCTCTGTGGGAGGAAACGAGGAGGAGTGAGGAGCGGCGCGCTGCCGCCCCTCGACGCAAGGAATGCAGGGCGACGCAGGCGAGGGAGGGAGGGCAGGCAGAGACCTGGGAAGACCAGAGACCAGGGAGCGAGAGTGCATGCTACGCAGGCGAGGCAAGGAGGGGTGACCAAGGCGGTGGTGCCACAGGAGAGTGTCGTGCGACAAAGCGCGACACTCGCAGGGGGCCGCCAGCTGACCAGACGTAGACGCAGACGCAGCTACCTGAGGGGACTCAGTGGTGAGTGTGTACAGACTCGAGCCAGGTGCACGGGTAAACGTGGCCAGGTGTCGGCCCGTCCGAGCACACGTACAGCGGGTCACTCGCTGACTCGCAGGAGTGAACTGGTGAACCCCTCCATCCTGGAGGTCAGCTCCCGCCACCAAGTTCGTAGAGAACGAGGGGAGGTAAAGACCTGACAGGAAGCCAGACGGGACGGCCGGACACGGCAGAACCGTGGAGTAGTGGGCAAGGACTGGGCCCCCGGAGGGGTCCGCCAGGGAGACTGGAACTGGCCGACTGAGCGGCGTGAGTGTGGTGCAGTCGCGAAAGAAGGAGCGGGAAGCTCCTGAGTCAAGGGTGAAGGTGTGCGAGACCGCAGAGGGCGCAGTACCAGAGAGAGCAGACTCACCAGCACCTGAAGCCACGGCCTCACCAGCACCTAGAGCAGAAGACGTACTAGCACCGAGAGCAGCAGCCTCACCAGCACCTAGAGCAGGAGACGCACTAGCACCTAGAGCAGCAGCCTCACCAGCACCGAGAGCAGCAGGCTCTATACCAGGGTCAGGCGGTACGCACAGGTAACAGGCACGGTCAGCACTAGTAGGCAATGCATACATGGCAGTGAGAATAGCATCATAGTCAAGCGCAAAGATATCTACCCTCTGTCTATGCAGCTCCAGCCAGGTGGGGAGCTCAGCCTCGTCGCCAAACACTGTGCGCCAGTCGTCGCTCAGACGGGCGAAGCAGCGGGACTGTGTGTGACCAAGCGTCCCACAAGGCTGACCAGTCCTAGCACCTGTGCGAATGACGTACGGGCAGCGAACTGTACGCGTAGACCTGCTACACTGAGCATACCACTCCTGGAGCTGCCGGGGCGTAAGTGTCTCACGTGGACGCCCCTGCAGCTGCAGCTGGCCACTGCCAGACGCTCCCAACTGACCAGCTCCAGGGCGACAGCTACGACGGCTACTGCGACAACCCCAGCTAGTATACCACTCACTAAGCTGCTGGGGCGTGAGAGGCTCGCGTGAACGTCGCTGGAGCTGCATCTGGCCACCTGCCAGTAGCAGTAGCAGCAGCAGTAGCGCGGGCAGGGCAGGCGCGGCAGGCAGGCAGGCAGGCAAGCAGGCAGGCCGGCAGGCAGGCAGGCAGCCAGGCAGGCAGGCAGGCAGGCAGACAGGCAGGCAGGCAGGCAGGCCGGCAGGCAGGCAGGCAGGCAGGCAGGCAGGCAGACAGGCAGGCAGGCAGGCAGGCGGGCAGACAGACAGGCAGGCCGGCAGGCAGGCAGGCAGGCCGGCAGGCAGGCAGCCAGGCAGGCAGGCAGGCAGACAGGCAGGCCGTCAGGCAGGCAGGCAGGCGCTCACCAAAGGCTGGGAGAGCAGGCGATCACCGGGCGAGCAGGGCCGGCGCTCGACGGCGGCGGCCGAGTAGGCGCACGACAGCGGCGGCGTCGGGGCCGCAACACCGGCTGCAGAGTAGGGCCGAAGCAGCTGCAGGGCGGGGCCGCTTCAGTGGCAGTAGCAGGGTGGGGCCGCGTCAGCGGTAGGTCGGGGCCGTGGAAGCTGCAGGGCGGGGCCGCATCAGCGGCAGGTCGGGGCCGTGGTAGCTGCAGGGCGGGGCCGCATCAGCGGCAGGTCGGGGCCGTGGCAGCTGCAGGGCGGGGCCGCATCAGCGGCAGGTCGGGGCCGAGGCAGAGGGCCGCGCGCGGCTCGGCGCGGGCTGCGCTGACAGCGCGCTGAGCTGCTGCAGGCCGCGCGCGGCCGCGCTAGGCAGTAGCGGGCCGCGCGCGGCTCGGCGCGGGCTGTTGCGGGCCGCGCGCGGGCCGCGCGAGGCAGTAGCAGGCCGCGCGCGGCTCGGCGCGGGCTGCTGCGGGCCGCGCGCGGGCCTCGCGAGGCCGTAGCAGGCCGCGCGCGGCTCGACGCGGGCTGCGTGGGCTCGGCGCGGGCTGCGCGCGGCAGCTGCGGGCTGCGCGCGGCTGCAGCGGGCTGCGCGCGGCTCGGTGCGGGCTGCGCGCGGCTGCAGCGGGCTGCGCGCGGCTCGGCGCGGGCTGCGTGGGCTCTGTGCGGGCTGCGCGCGGCTGCAGCGGGCTGCGCGGGCCTGACGGGCGTGTAGAGGGGGCGCGCGGGCCTTACGGGCCTCTAGGGGCGGCGCGCGGGCCTTACGGGCCTCTAGGGGCGGCGCGTGGGCCTTACGGGCCTCTAGGGGCAGCGCGCTGGCCTAAGGCAGCAGGAGGCAGCGCTAGGGCTGCTGGACGGCGCGCATAGTGCAGCACGTCACAAGGCAAGGCAAGGCAGGCAGGTACGTGGGGTAGCGCGGTAACCGCAGCGGTAGGTGGGCCCGAAAAAAAACGGTCCTACGGACCTTAGTGCTCTGAAACCATGTCAGAATCTAGCAGCAGGAATGGATGAACTAACAGGATGCAGGAGTACAAGTAGTAAACCCTAATTGGGCTGTACCCCATATGGGCTACCCCACTACAGCCTAAACAATATGCAGCACATATAGTTTGACACCAACTCCCGGTGGCACTTCACGCGGAATACATTTTTTTTGTCGCTGGCCAATCATGCGTCAGAGTTGTGAAGGAAAGCTGCACTTTGGGTGGTAACCTGGTTTTTGGCGAGTTCATATTCAAGAATCTTGAATTTGAAAAATGCCATGTGGAACTCGGGCTTTAAATGTGTAAACACCAGTGGCAGTCCAATGTTTCTGGTTCTAGCCACAGATGCTCGCTCAAGCCTTTCAGGCATCTATTGTACAGTAACCTACTCTAAAACTGTCTTAAAGATGCACTCATTCCCCGGAGGGTGACTCGGCTGCTAGAGCCAGTTATCCTCCGTCGTGCACCAAACCTGCCGATGCCAACGGAAATCCCTGTTGCTGCCAGGACACTCCTCTCCTCCTCTTCCTCCTCATCCATGTACAGCTGGTTCATGTAGCACACACTCCCCTTCTCACACAATCCAAAGCCCTGCCTGCTGTAATTCTCGTCCTCGTCCTCGTCATCCTCCTCATACAGCTGGTTTGAAATAACGCTCTTCCCCACCGGCTCCCAAGCACCTGTCGCCTCCATGCTCCACCCCCTCCCACTGCTGCACAGCACAAGCCTCGCCCAAACCCCTTACTCCCCTTCCCATCAAATATGACGTCGCTGTAATTCGCATCCTCCTCATCACCATCCTCAAAGAGCTGATTTGGAAACATGAGCGTTCCCACTGGCTGCCCAACATCCTTCGCCTCCATTTTCCATCCCTTTCCATTGCTGGGAAAACCTCGGCCAATCCCCATATTCACGCCCATGAAGTTCGAGCCGCTGCTGCCACAGCTGTCAGCAAAGGAGACACGGTCAAGGGGAGCAGAGGAGGAGCTGCAGCTATCCCAGGAGATGAGGCACGCACTGTGGCTGCTACAGCTGCTCTCACTGCCACTCATCCTACAGCACCCGCTGCTCTCCTCTGCTCCCACCTTCACACCCTGCTGTGCCTCCGCAACCTGGAATGAAGGAGCAACCTCCTCTGGCTCCACACCCAACCAGAACGCTTCTGCCTCCTCTGAGCCATCAGTGGCTTCATTAACAGATGGAGTCTCGAGCGTCACATTGGAGGCCTCAACACTCATGTCAGAAGCAGGAGCCTCATCATCTACGTCAGAAACCCCAACAACGACAGCAGCGGCCTCTAGATTGACTGTAGGAGTCTCCACCACGGGCGGAGCAGCCTTGGCTGCTACGTGATTGCTTGACCTGTTCCACTGGAAGTCAACCTGCCAAGTTCAAGAGAAATTCGCGTTAGCATCTGCTGTTAATGAGTCTGACTTGGTAAAGTAAACAAGCTGACTTGCAAGATATGTTAACACAGGGTGAAGGAGGTGGAGATTTGTTCTTACCAGGCGCGGAAGAGAGACCAGGCCGCAAACAAAGCGAGCGAGGGAGTCATTCTGCTCCCAGCAGCTCGAGAACAGAGCGTCGACGTCCACGCAGACACGCTCAGCAACGATGCAGGCCATCTCGTTGACGGTCGTAGTAGGGATGACGAACTGGCTAACTAACTTGGAGCTTTAAAGACTGACACGGAGCACTTGAATGGTCAAACTGCAGGTACGGAAGCCTTGCAAAAAACAGGGGACTCTTGGAGCTGGAAGGCTGCGCGACGATTTTCAGAACCGAGCGATGAATGGGAATTAAAACCCCCAAGCTCTTTATACTTGTTACCTTCTGGATTGAAGGGTCTGACGGGAGGCGAGGCGAGAATGGGGTGTGAAGGCTGAAGCAGGTTCGGAATGCGGCGAGAGGCACGGAGTGGGTGGGAGGGAGGCAGTGGGTGCGAGGCAGCTCCGCGAATTCGTCGCCTGTGGGGTGGCTTTCTTGGGGCTAGGCTTGGGCTTGCGAGAACTGGTGATTATCGGAGCCCATGGCGACGCCACTGACTGGCCTAAAGTGTCGCAACGCTGTCCGTTTGAGCAGGGACGACTCAAAACACGACACATCTGGTCTACGCGACAGCGTGGAGGGATCTCCTGGAAGCGCGCAATGCTCAAGGTTCCGTTGCGATAGGGGAGTACGAGTGCGGTACGGGCGAATGTGGGAGGCGGGAAAATGGAAAGGTTTGGAAGCTGGCGAGGTTCGCGGGTATGGTGGTATAGATTGCCAACCTTGTGCCGAAGCTCATTGCTGGCTTAGTGAATGTCGGGGTTACCAAGTCACTCGTAATGCTCAGGGGTCCGCCGCTACCGGAAACATGAAATGCGGCACGGGATTGAGAAAAGCGGGAACATAGGTAGGTTCGGAAGCTGGCAGTAGGCTTGAAAAATGTGGTATGGTAGCCCATAGTCGCGACGAAGCCCAGACATGACCTTGAGATCATCAGGAAAGATAGAGCTGGAGGACTGGGGTTGGGGTTTGCACGGAGATTCATAGAAGCATTGAGTATGGCGAAATCGGTTTTGGGTTGAATCACAGCTGAGTTCCCACCTTGAGGCAGATATATCGTATAACGATAACTCACTAAGCATTCAGCAAGGTAGTTCCAGTAAATCTTTAGTTATATGTATTACGTTTTACACCGTTTCCATGCATAGAGCTAAGATCCACTTTAAGCCTCACACCATATCATCCGTTTGTATCAAACAAGAGAACAGCAAACCTGTACAATAAGCACAGTACCTAAAAGTGTGTGCGTGTGAGACCCCCAATTCGAAGCCCTTGCTCAGTGTGCACCCACAGCCTGCCCATTCACCACATGCTTCTCCTCCGTGCCCTGCTCCTCCGCCCCGTCACCCGCCCCCTGCTGCCTGCTCGCTTCCTCTCCTAACCCCTCCTCACTACCACCCGCACCTGCTGCATTAGGGCTGCCTGCTGCACTGGCACTAACACTAGCACTGGCACTGGCGCTGGCTGTGCCATTTGCGCTGGCAGCGGTGCTGGATTGACGATGGCGCCAGTCAGAGAAGGATGGGGAGATGGACACGGGGGAAGAAGCGGCGGCACTGGGAGAGGAGGAGGATGGGCTGCTGGGATGGGAGGAAGGGGCTGAGAGGGGGGCAGCGGAGAGAGACAGGCTTGCGGGTGCCGTGGGGGGTGTGAGAGCGAGAGTGTCTGTTGATGCTGCGCTGCTGCCATGTGGCGCGCCCCTGCTTGCTCCTTGTGCTTCCTCCACACCTTGTCTGTTTTCTGCTCCTGCAGAGCCCGCTGCTGCTCCTGCCGAGCCTGCTGCTGCTCCCGCTGAAGCTGCTGGTGCGCCTGCCATTCCTTCAGCCAGGCTCACTCGTGCCTCCTGTGACCCACACTCCATACCATGCTGCTGCTGCTCCTGCTGTTGCTGCTGCTGCTGCTGGTGGTGAGGCACACGAGCATGTGCATGGGGAGGAGCAGCACTGGAGGCAGCAGGCTGCATCACCACATCACTCACACCCACCGCACCTGCACTCCCCGCCCGGAACATATGCCCTGCCATGCCTTGCCCCATGCTCACACCAACACCCATCTCCAACCCCAACCCCAAGCCGCTCCCCCCACCGGCATGCACGGCCCCTCCTTCAAGCACAGAGCGCATAGTAGCGGCCCTAACAGCAGTGCTGGGCGCACAGTGCATGCTACTCTCCAGTACCAACCCCACCACTCGCTCCTCCTCCGCCTCCTCCTCCCCACCACTGCCCCTGCTCACGAGGAAACCAGCATCGGCTGGGCCGGGAGGGGTTGAAAAGGAAGGTGCGTGGAAGTGTCCAGGAGCAGCTGCGGCGGTGGTGGGGGCGAAGAGGAAGTGTGTGGTGGGGGCGGCGGAGGTGGGTGAGGGGTAGAAGTGGGAGCGCAGATGGGAGAGGAATCCGTGGCCTTGGAAGGGGGGCGAGACGGGTGACAGGGCAGGAGGCGCATTGCTGGGAGGAAACGGCAGGTACAAACCAGTGGCAGAAACTGGCAGGCTGGCCGCTGCTGCAGCAGCTGCTGCTGCTGTGGTGGTCGTGATGGTGGCAGCACCATGTGCTTCTGTGACCAAGTGAGGGTGAGTCAGCTCCCCATGCGCCACCCTCCCTGCTGCCATCTCCTCACTCCCAGCCAGCTCCGCCCTTCCTTGCCCCACTTCCCCTGCACCACTACCCTCTGTCCTCTCCTCCAGACCAACCACCCTGCCACTGGAAGCCGTCCGCAGCAACGGCCCTCCTGCTCGCATCCACGCCAGCATCGCATTCTCCCTCTCTCGCTCCCTCTCGCCATCACTGTCGCTGCTCTCACCCCCACCTGCTGCTGCCCCTGCCCCGGACCCTCCACCACCAGCCAATCCCGCGGCGCCAGCTGTCGCCGCGGCAGGCAGGGAAGCGGCAGCCCCATCCTCATCCAGGGACCCCCAGGAGCTCTCCCGAGCAAACTGGTTCCACGAGGGGATACGCTTCCGAAACGACCCACGCCCTGCACCGCCGCTCCCCCACACCCCCCCTGCACCCACGCCTGCTCCCACTGCACCGATGCTTGTTCCTCCTGCGCCCACCGGAAGCCCTGTCACCGTACCTGCTGCTCCTCCTGCTACCCCTGCTCCTGCACCTGCTTGCGCCCCTGCCCTGGCTCGCTCCTCCCCGGCTCCCGCAGCATGCACAGCAGCCATGAGCGGCAGCGAGGGGTGCGAGAGCGTGCGGGCAGCAGGGGAGAGCGCGGGCCCAAGGGTGGGGGCACGGGCGGCAGCAGCAGCGGTGGAGGGAGGTGGAGTGCGGCGGCGGTGCAGGATGGAGACGCACTCGTCGAGCATGAGCTCGATGCCGCAGTGTGCTCGTATGGCGCTCAGCCGCTCCCACGTGCCGCGCCGCCCCTGCTGTATGGCCGCTCGCAGCTCCGATGGCGTGGGGTTCTGAATAATCTTGGCGAACTGGAGGGAGAGGAGGGGGGAAGGGGTGGTGGGGGGTTGGAAATGGTTGGGTGGATGGGTTGGTGGGTGGGTTGCGTCACATCATTCAACCCTTCATTCAGCTGACAGGAACAATGCCATTCATTCGGCCCTGCTGAATTGCTGCTCGCGGCTCCAATGGAGTGGGGTTCTGAATGATCTTGGCGAACTGGTGGGGGGAAAAGGAGAGGGCGGGTGTGTGGGTGGGTAAGTGGGTGGATGGGGGCGGGGGAGAGAAGGTGGGGAGGGAGACGCACATGAAGGTGGCAAGTGACGGAACAAAGTGCAAGAGTGAGGTGTAATGCGGCGCTGCTGCTGCTGCTGCTGCTGCTGCTGCTGCTGCTGCTGCTGCTGCTGCTACCCATGCCAGCGAGCTTGCCTTGATTGGTCATCATCATCACATTCAACCCTTGATTCAGTTCAGCTATTGGAAACCATATCCTTCATTCCCCACCCAGTGACGTACCCCATCCCTTTCACCCCAAAGCTCTGCACCCGTGTCTATGCCACAGGTCTACTGTGCCACACAACCACACACCCCTCCCAACTCCACTCCACCGTTTCCGCGCCTCTTCCCACCGCGCAGCACCGCACTGTACCTGTGCGAGCGTGGCGTGCATGACAATGGTGATGTCGCCCTCCCATGGCTGCGCGAACAGCTTGGCCAGCCCGCCCACCCGCCACCCCATGGCTAGGGCTTGCTCGCACCGGTGCTTCAACTCCATCTCCGCCAACTGTGCCAGCTGTTATGGGGCAAGGAGGAAGGGGATATGGGGAGGGAGACGACGGGACGCAGTGGGTGTCGAGCAACCCCACCCGCCACCCCATTGCTAGCGCTTGCTCACAGCGGTGCTTCAACTCCATCTCTGCCAGCTGTGCCAGCTGCACAGGGGAACGAGGACAAGGATGGGGAGGGCGTTGGGTTTGGAAAGGAAGGGAGATGAAGAGATGCTGTGCGTGAGGAGTTGTGTTGTGGGTGCAACCCCACCCGCCGCCACCCCACGGCCAGCGCCTGCTCGCACCGGTGCTTCAACTCCATCTCTGTCAACTGTGCCAGCTGTTATGGGGAAAGGAGGAAGGGGATGCGTAGGGGGATGGTTTTGGGAAGGAAACGATGCAGCCTCATTGCCACCCGACGGCCAGTGCCTGCCTGCTCCCATCCCCCATTCCCTCCCCCACTCCGCCCGCCCCAAATGTACCTTAGCAGCCCATTCCCCGCCGTAGACGCGGCAGGCGTTTTTAAGGCGCAGCAGCGGGGCGATGTGGGGGTTGGCCTGGGAGACGATGAAGTGGTTCACGTTGAACTGCTCGCGCAGCTCCTGCATCGGCAGGTCGCTCTCCAGACTGCCGTCCCTCCACGCGCGCTGCTTCACTGCCGCTGCTGGCTCCTCCGGCCCCGCCTGCCAGTGCCGTGACCGTAGGGAGCAAGTGTGGCACGCACAGGTAACGGTGAGAGAAGAGGGTTGAGAGGAAAGGTGAGAAGGTGGAGGAGACGAGAGTGTGGGGTTGTAGGGTAAAGTTGGTCGTACAGAGGAGCAGAGGTGGGGAAGCAGGGGAACAGGGCAAAGGATTGAGTGGCGAGGTGAGGAGAGAGGAAAAGAATATGGGAAGCAAGTGCGGGCACGGGGGTGGCAGGGGAGAGAACTTGAGGAGAGATTTGGGACGAGAGGAGAAGAGTAGTGAGATAACAATGTTTCCGTGAGTGTAACGGAATGTTGGTGCAGCTTCGCGGTGCTAATCACTCAAGAGCAAGGCATAGCCTTGTTCCATCTTCCAAACCCCCTTTCCCAGCCCAGTGCCTTTTATCCCTTCCCAGTGCACCCCTCCCCTCCCACCACACTGCCACTTCCCATCTTCACCCGCCCCCACCACTCCCATTGTGGTCAGAAAGAAACAGTGCAACGCGCGCGCCTCTTACCTCGGAGGGCATGTGGAAGGGCACGATGCGGCCGCTGCTGTCCTTGGCTTGGCCATCAGCTCCTGCGCCTCGCACCGTGCTTCCCCCATCCCACCTACCTACCACTCCCATCCCATCGCAGTCAGAAGGAATGCAATGCGCGGCTCACCTCGGAGGGCATGTGGAAGGGCACGATGCGACCGCTGCTGTCCTTGGCCATCAGCTCCTGTGCCTCGAACAGCCCCGGGAACGCGCATGAGGCTGTCACCGCGCTCCAGATCACCACGTGCGGCGCGCTGAGATAGGTCAGCAGGCGGTGAGGCTCCTGTGGTCGCATGGAGCACACTGGGATACCCAACACTCGCCCTGCACGCACACACGCACCAGCACCACCGCACACCCAGCAGCCAGCAGCCAGCAACAAGCATGCAGGGCGCAGGCATACAGGTGAAAGATACGAAAACAAACATGAACACAAGTAGCGAGTGTATTTGAAGACAATACTGCATTTGTTCTAGTTGCATTTATCTATGCCCTTGCCCGTGCGCCCTTGCCCGTGCGCCCTTGCCCGTGCGCCCTTGCCCATGCGCCCTTGCCCATGCGCCCTTGCCCGTGCGCCCTTGCCCATGCGCCCTTGCCCATGCGCCCTTGCCCATGCGCCCTTGCCCGTGCGCCCTTGCCCATGCGCCCTTGCCCATGCGCCCTTGCCCGTGCGCCCTTGCCCATGCGCCCTTGCCCATGCGCCCTTGCCCGTGCGCCCTTGCCCGTGCTCTTGCGCAATCCCCAAGGGCGGGCAGCACACACGCACGCACCTGAGAGGTCGTACGCTTCCTGGAAGGTAAGATCCCCAATGAGCTGCCTCAGCCGCCGCTGCAGCACGCCAATCTCCCCAATGGCCCCGCGCACCAGCAGGCGCTGCGCCGTGGCAAAGACCGACCCCATGCTCTCAAAGAACGTCAGGCTCTGCATGTTCTCCTCGAAAAACGCCTGCAGCTCCGACCCCGTGCGCGTGGCCACGAACGAGCAGATGATAGATCCCACGGACGCGCCTGCGAGCACGCGCGGCAGCATGCGGTGCTCTATGAGCGTGCGCACGACCCCCAGGTGGAACGCGCCCAGGGCCGCGCCGCCGGAGAGGAGGAGCGCGGTGCGGCCGAAGGCGTGGCGCGTTTCGTGGATGAAGGCGAGCTTGGCGTCGCGCGGGAAGGCGTCCGCGTGCGAGTCGCACACGGCGCGCAGGTGGAAGCGCACCTCGTCTATGTACTCCTCTATTAGGCGCGGCATCTGGCGGGGCGCGGGACAGAGAGAGTGAGGGAGGAGGAGAAGTGAAGCGAGGGTGGAGGAGGGAAGGGGAAAGCACCGAAGGGAGCGAGCGGGGGAAGGGGGGAGGGTGGGTGGGGGATGGAACAGAAACAGAAACAGAAACAGCCTCGCCTCACCTTCAGCGGCCCCTGCAGCTGCGCGCGGCTCTCGCCTGATCTAGAACATTACCTGCAAACGACCCTGGTGCAGCTGCGTGCGACCATCGACTCCCTCACCTGTAGGCGGCCCTGGTGCAGCTGCGGGTTGCACATGTTGCCGAGGTTGCGCAGCAGGTCGGAGCGCATGGCGAACACGATGCCCTCCACGCCGCCCTCCAGCCGCCGCCGCCGCAGGTCCACCAGCTTGGCGCGCAGCAGGTCCTCGTCGTATAAGTCCGAGTCCTGCCGGGGAGGCGAAGGGAGGGACAGGGAGAGAGGGGGAAAGGGGTGACTTTTGAGTCGACTCAAAACGAGGCCCACCAGCTTGGCGCGCAGCGGGTCCTCGTCGTATAAGTCCGAGTCCTGCCGGGCCGCGGGTGGGCGACGGGAGGGACAACTGCAAGGCACGGGACCCTGGAAACCTCCTCCCCTCTCGTCCCTCCTTACCTCCTCTCCTCCATTCGTCATTCGCCCTCATCCGTCGCTCGCTCTCACCCGTCGCTCGCTCTCACCCGTCGCTCGTCCTCACCCGACGCTCGCTCTCACCCGTCGCCTGGGTTGGTACTTCTCGAGCATCGCCGCGGCGTGCGCCCACTCGTCGTACGTGAGCGCCGTCGCCATGAGATTCGCCCAGAACTTGCGTCGCACAGCCATCTCCGCCTTGAATGATCGCAGGCGATATCGCCTGACGATGAGCGCTCCGAGGACGACCGTACCGAGCACGAACCCCGGGTTTCGCGGGTTGAGGCTCGTCCACGCTCTCCGAACCAGCATCGCGAGGAACTTTTGAAGCTTCGCAACTCGATTAACGAGCCGGTGGCGAAGGATCGCAAGGAGTCGCTGAAAGGAGTCGCAGAAGATGAGGCGAATGGCGACTGCTCGCTCGGCGAGCGTCGCAGGAGCGAGTCTGAAAAGGTCGACGACTGCTTCTTCTGCGGACTCCATCGCGAGCGATGATGACAGCGACGAAGCTCGAAGAAATGCTAAGCTAGCTACTTGTTCGACAAAAGCCAGAAGCTTTACAGATACTAATGCTAATGGCTTCTCTGGGCCATCACCGCTTGTCCTCAATCCTGCCCAGCACACGTAAAGGTATGTTCGCAGATAATAAAACACCTCATGCCAGCTCAACGTCGTGTTGTTATGACTCAGGACACCTCATGCCTATCTATTCTTCCTGACGTGGAAAGAAACTAGCGACCCCCTCAAGCACTTTTTGTGGTTCCCGCTTCCCCTCCCCTCCCCTCCACCAAACTGGTGGGCCAAACCACTGATGCTGCCGGAGCTGGTTGGATGGTCTCCACCAACCAGAAGGCCTTACGAACCTTGAAATCAACCAATCAGCAGCTCTCCGCCGCCGCCGGGCTCCGGTTCGGGCGTCCAAGCAAGCTGATGCTGATGTCTTCCCCTTCACATGTCCGCTTTGCCGCTGCCACATCTCTTGTTTGGATTTTCGAACCACCAAAAACGCTCGACGGTTGCGTGCTTCTGGAAACTTGCGATATTATTCTTGGTCTTTCGAGTTTCGTGTCAGGGGGTGGTGTTCCAATCCAATCCAATCGAGGTACCTACAAAACTGCATCCTTCCAATTCCATATTTTATATTTTATCCTTCCTCACCAAGGCACCTCACCAAGACATCTATTGACTGAGGTGCCAAACATTCTCTTTTTCTACTGTATTTTGTTCCACTCAGCTCCCAGTTCTCAACTGAGCATCAATTCCATCCTGCAGAACCTCTAAATTGTCACCCCTTCCCAAGGTAGCCACACCACCCTGGAGTCCATCTAACCCATCAACACCGCATTCAACCGCTTGTGCGCGTAACACCACAGGCGGGTTTATAATGTCATCACGGCTCTGAATGAGACAGAGCTCTAGGCGCTTGGGAGAGGGGGGAGTGAGAGAAGAATCGGAGCTGTCTAGGGGTTGAGAGTGGTGCTGCAGGGTGCGTGCGAGCACAGCCTGTAGTAAGGGAGTGGAAGCAGGTTGGGAAGAGTTGGTATTATGTAAGATGCCAGTAAGCACGACTTATGGGGAGGGAGTGGAGGGGTGTGAATTAGAGGGCTGATGGCATCATGGGGCTTCGAACAAGGCAGAGCTCAAGGTGCTTCGGGGTTGGGGAGTGAGATCGGAATCGGTGCTGTCTAGGGGTTGAGAGTGGTGCTGCAGGGTGCGTGCGAGCACAGCCTGTAGGAAGGGAGTGGAAGCAGGTTGGGAAGAGTTGGTATTATGTAAGATGCCAGTAAGCACGACTTATGGGGAGGGAGTGGAGGGGTGTGAATTAGAGGGCTGATGGCATCATGGGGCTTCGAACAAGGCAGAGCTCAAGGTGCTTCGGGGTTGGGGAGTGAGAGCGGAATCGGTGCTGTCTAGGGGTTGAGAGTGGTGCTGCAGGGTGTGTGCGAGCACAGGGAGGAGAAATGGGAGGAGATGAGCAGTCAGGAAGGTTGCACTGCCACGAGTTGCCCCTGCCAACTCTGCTGTTATGGCTTGCCTCAAAGAAAAGGACAGCCTAGCACCAACACACAATCGCATCCAGCCTAGCAGCAACACGCAATAGAATCTGGCCCAGTAGAAACTTCTAGGCTGTAGGGATGACAATGCTAGCTCTGCTGCTGAAACAGGACAGCTAGACAAGCATAAAAGACACAGCAGAGCAGCAACAAACTATAGCACCGCCCGCAGCGATAGTTGCTCACCTGTAGGGATGCCACTGCTAGCTCTGCTGCTCTTGCCAAGTCGTGCGGATACTTCTGATGAAAGAGAGGGAGGGAGGAAAGTGTCAAATAATATGTGTGACATTTATGTAGGCTATAGTACTGGGTCTAGCCTTATGGGGTACACATATTTTCCCGACACTTGTTTTGTATCCCCCTCCAAACCCTAATTCCACACAACTTCATGCCTAAGATTCTAAGATGGTATCTAGAGCCTAGAGGTCTCTAGGACCTAAGATAAGGGCCCACCGTTACCACGTTACCTCACCTGCCTTGCCTCCTGCCCGCGCGCGCCTCGGCGGCACGTGTGCGGCCCTTTTTTTTCTCCCGCGCGCGCCGCTTGAGCAGCCCGCGCGCTCTTCGTTTAGGCCCGTTTTCGGCCCCGCGCGCCACGTCAGCCGCCCGTGCGGCTCGTTTTTCCTCGGCCCGCCCAACTTCCTCCCCTTAGCCGCCCATCGCGGCCCTTCCCTAGCCCGTCGCGGCCCCTTAGCCGCCCGTCGCGGCCCCTTAGCCGCCCGCGGCTCCTTACCCGCCAGTCGCGGCCCCTTAGCCGCCCGTCGCGGCCCCTTAGCCGCCCGTCGCGGCCCCTTAGCCGCCCGTCGCGGCCCCTTAGCCGCCCGTCGCGGCCCCTTAGCCGCCCGTCGCGGCCCCGTACCTGGTCTGTCGCGGCCCCTGGCGGCCCCCCACGCCGCTCTTTCGCAGCCCTGCAGCAGCCGCCGCTGGACCAGCCGCCCCTGCAGCAGCCGCCCCAGCGTCCCCTGCAGCAGCCGCACCTGCAGCAGCTGTCTCAGGCCACTGCAGCAGCCGCCCCTGCCGCAGCCGCCCCTAGCCCCTGGAGCAGCCGCCCCTGCAGCAGCTGCCCTTGGCCCCTGGAGCAGCCGCCTCTGCAGCAGCCGCCCCTGGTCCCTGGAGCAGCCGCCCCTACACCTGCTGCCCCTTGCCACTGGAGCAGCTGCCCCTGCAGCAGCCGCCCCTGCCCCTGGCCCTTCGGGCAGCCGCCCTTGCGGCAGCCGCCCCTGGCCCCTGCTGCAGCCGCCCCTGGCCCCTGCAGCAGCCGCCCCTGGCCCCTGCAGCAGCCGCCCCTGGAGCAACCGCCCCTGCAGCAGCCGCCCCTGGCCCCTGCAGCAGCCGCCCCTGGCCCCTGGAGCAGCCGCCCCTGGAGCAGCCGCCACCTGCAGCTGCCGCGGAGCCCTCGCCCTACAGTGGTGCCGGCCTCGCCGTTGCACGCCGGCCCTTCTTGCCACTGGTGAGCACTGTCCTGCTGCTCCTGCTGCTACTGCTCTTTCTCCTGCTACTGCTGCTCGTGCTGCTCCTACGGCTACTGCGCTTTCTCCTGCTCCTGCTGCTACTGCTGCTACTGCTGCTCCTGCTGCTACTGCTGCTACTGCTGCTCCTGCTGCTACTGCTGCTACTACTGCTCGTGCTGCTCCTACCCTTCCTACTGCTACTGCTGCTCCTGGCGTGGCCAGATGCAGCTCCAGCGCCGTCCACGTGAGCCTCTCCCGCCCCCACAGCTTCATGAGTGGTACGCTAGTTGGGGTTGTCGGGGTGGCCGTCGTGGGAGTCGTTCTGGCGTGAGTAGTTTCGGGGCTTCTTGTAGTGGCCAGGTGCAGCTGCAGCATCGTGTACGTGCGGTCCCCTCGCCCCCGCAGCTTCATGAGTGGTACTTTCAGCGGGGGGGGTCACGGGGTTCTGCTCGCTGCCCGTATGTCATTCGCACTGGTGCTCGGACTGGCCAGCCTTGCGGGACGTTTGGTCACACAGAGTCCCGCTGCTTCGCCAGTCTGAGCGACGCCTGGCGTACGGAGTTTGGCGACGCGGCTGAGCTCCCTGACTGGGTGGAGCTGCGCCGGCGGAGGGTAGATATCTATGCTCTTGACTTCGATGCTATCCTCACTGCCATGTATGCATTGACTACTAGTGATGTCGGTGACTGTTCCCTGAGTGCTCCGCCCGACCCGGGCGGTGCAGCTGCTGCTCTAGGTGCTAGTGAGTCTGTTGCTCCAGGTGCTAGTGAGTCTGCTGCTCCAGGTGCTGGTGAGTCTGCTACTCCAGGTGCTGGTGAGTCTGCTCTCTCAGGTACCACGTCTGCTCCGGCGTCGCACACTTTCACCCTTGACTCGGGTGCTTCCCGCTCCTTCTTTCGAGACCGCACCACTCTCACGCCGCTCAGTCGGCCGGTTGCGGTCTCCCTGGCAGACCCCTCTGGGGGTCCTGTCCTTGCTCACTACTCCACTGTACTACCGTGTCCGGCGGTCCCGTCTGGCTCCCTGTCGGGTCTTTACCTCCCCTCGTTCTCTACGAACTTGGTGGCGGGTGCTGACCTACAGGATGGGGGGGTTGACCAGTTCACCCCTGCGCGTCAGCGGGTGACCCACTGTACGTGTGCGGACACGGGCCGACACTTGGCCACGTTTACCCGTCGGCCGGGGTCGAGCCTGTACACCCTCACTACCGAGTCTCCTCCGGTTGCTGTGCCTGGTCAGGTAGCTGCGTCGGGTCAGGTGTTTGCTGCGGCGTCTCGGTCTGGTCCTGAGTCTGCCCCCTGCTCGTGTCGCCTCCTGTCCCACGAGACTCTTCTCTGGCACCACCGTCTTGGTCACCCCTCCCTGCCTCGTCTCCGAGGCATGGCCTCTCGTGTCCTGGTCTCTGGTCTTCCCCGGTCGCTCCCTCCCCTCCCCCCGGGGCCTGCCCCTACCTGCGTCCCCTGCGTCGAGGGGCGGCAGCGCGCCGCTCCTCACTCCTCCGAGTTTCCGCCGACAGAGGCTCCGCTGCAGACTCTTCACATGGACGTGTGGGGCCCAGCCCGCGTCCGTGGACAGGGTCATGAGCGTTACTTCCTGCTGGTGGTTGACGATTACTCGCGTTACACCACAGTCTTCCCCTTGCGCCGCAAGGATGAGGTCACTGAGGTGTTGATCGACTGGATCCGCGCTGCTCGTCTCCAGCTCAGGAAGAGTTTCGGCTCTGACTTTCCTGTTTTGCGCCTTCACTCCGACAGAGGTGGGGAGTTTTCCTCCGGCCCTCTGCGAGCTTTCTGTCGTGCGAGGGGCATCCGCCAGACGTTCACGCTTCCGGCCTCTCCACAGCAAAATGGGATTGCTGAGCGCCGCATTGGCATGGTCATGGACGTCGCTCGTACGTCCATGATCCATGCGGCTGCTCCCCATTTTCTGTGGCCGTTTGCTGTTCAGAACGCGGCGCGTCAGATCAACCTTTAGCCCCGAGTCTCCATGCCGGGGACCTCCCCCACTCTGCTGTGGACGGGGAAGGTTGGCGATGCGTCTGCGTTCCGTGTCTGGGGATCTCGGGCTTTTGTCCGAGACTTGTCTGCGGACAAGCTGTCCTCCCGTGCTGTTCCCTGCGTCTTCCTTGGCTTCCCCCCTGACGCGCCTGGTTGGCAGTTTTACCACCCCACCTCGCGCCGTGTTCTGTCCTCCCAGGACGTCACGTTTGACGAGTCGGTTCCGTACTACCGTCTCTTCCCCTACCGCGCTGCCCCCCTCCCCCCCCCGCCGCTCTTCCTTACGCCAGGTCCCCCCCCGGTAGACCCCCTCCCCCCTCAGGGTCCTGCTCCTTCAGGTGTGTCTCAGGTAGACCCCCCCCCCTTGGCTGAGCCTTTGGAGGTCACTTCCGACACCTCTGGCCCACCCGAGGGGGGTGACGCTGCTGCTGGCGCCCCGTCGGCCTACCGCCGCGCACCACGCTTGGAGACCCCTCCGGGGTTCCCCCCGCGACCTTCTTCACCGCCTCTGCGGCCGGCTACTGTTGACTCTGGTGCTGCTAGGGGTGCTGAGCCTGGGGGTGCTGTGTCTGGGGGTGCTGAGCCTGTGTGTGCGGAGTCTGGGGGTGCTGAGTCTGGCGGTGAGACGCTTGAGGGTACTGGGACTGCTGGTGCGCGGCCTACTTGGAGTGGCCGCCTTCGTCCGCGTGTGCCCCTCACCACTCAGCAGCTGCACGACTGGTACGGTCGCCGTCAGCGTCGCGCTGCTGGAGCCCGGGACTCTGCTGCTCGAGGTACTGGAGGTGCTGGTTCTGGGGGTGCTGCTGCGGGAGACGCTGCGGTTGGAGACCCTGGAACTGGAGGTGCTGGTTCTGGGGGTGCTGCTGCGGGAGACGCTGCGGCTGGAGACCCTGGGACTGGAGGTGCTGGTTCTGGGGGTGCTGCTGCGGGAGACGCTTGCCTTGGAGACCCTGGGACTGGAGGTGCTGGTTCTGGGGGTGCTGCTGCGGGAGACACTGCGGTTGGAGACCCTGGGACTGGAGGTGCTGGTTCTGGGGGTGCTGCTGCGGGAGACACTGCGGTTGGAGACCCTGGGACTGCAGGTGCCGGTTCTGGGGGTGCGGCTGCTGGTGACGCTGGTTCTGGAGCTGCTGGCGCTGGAGGTACCGGTTCTGAGGCTGGAGCTTCTGGAGCTGCTGGAGGCGCTGGCGCTGCTGGAGGTGCTGGCGCTGCTGGATCTGCCGGAGCTGGTACAGCTGCGCCGACACGACTGTTCTTCGCTCCGCCGTCTCCGTCGTCGCTGCCGCCGCCTGACTCTCTTCTTCGTCAGGTTCTTACTCTCCCGTCGTCCACTGGTCTTCCGTTACCGGCTGGCTCACCGCTGCCTGCTCCTTCTCCTTACACTGAGCAGACAGGTAGTCTTGCTGAGCGTCGTGAGCCTGCGTCGCGTCCTGTCTCGCCTGTTCGTCCTGGTCGTACCGGTCGTCGTGTCGCTCGTGCGCGTCAGCAGACTGTCCCCAGCGCACACCTTGTCGTCCGTCGTCCTTCCTCTGCTCCGCAGCCTGCTCCTCTGCCTTCCCCACCTGCGTCCTCTCTGCCTGTCGTTCCGGACCCTGAGTCTGACCGGTTTCGCGCTGAGCACCCCACTGTCACGCGTCTGTTAGCCACTGTTGTCACTGACCCGTCGTTTGAGTCTACTGCTACGTCTGCCTTAGTCGCTGAGCTTGTCGACTTTGCTGCTGCCTGTCGTCTCGACTACGCCGCTAGTCTTGTTGCTGAGTCTGAGTCTGTCTGTCCTCCGTCCGTCGGGGGTGAGTGTGCTCTTAGCACGGACGTCCTTGAGGACAGGCAGGAGGAGTTCCAGTGTCTTGCTGCTGCTTTACCTCATCTTGTGTCCTCGCTACTTGCCCCTGAGGGAGACCCGGATGCACCAGACATTCCGACCCCGCGCACTTACGCGGAGGCGATGAGGGTCCCTACTCCTCTCAGTGGCAGGCAGCCATGGACGCAGAGATGGCTTCCTGGAAGTCCACAGGCACCTACGTTGACGAGGTTCCCCCACCTTGGGCGAACATCGTCAGTGGCATGTGGATTTTCAGGGTAAAGCGGCCGCCAGGTTCTCCGCCTGTCTTCAAGGCGCGTTACGTGGCTCGAGGCTTCAGTCAGCGGCAGGGAGTTGACTACTTTCAGACCTTCTCTCCCACCCCGAAGATGACTACTCTTCGGGTGCTGCTACACATAGCCGCTCACCGTGACTACGAGCTTCACTCTCTGGACTTCAGCACAGCCTTCTTACAGGGCAGCCTGCACGAGGAGATCTGGCTGCGCCGTCCACCTGGCTTCACTGGGACGTTTCCTCCTGGCACCCAGTGGAGCCTCCGGCGGCCAGTCTACGGTCTCCGCCAGGCGCCGCGTGAGTGGCACGACACACTGAGGACTACGCTTGCGGCTCTTGGGTTTGCGCCTTCTACTGCAGACCCGTCGCTGTTTCTACGCACCGACACCTCCTTGCCGCCGTTCTACATCCTCGTGTACGTCGACGACTTGGTCTTTGCTACAGCTGACACTGCTGGACTCGCCCACGTGAAGTCCGAGCTGCAGAAGCGACACACGTGCACAGACCTAGGTGAACTGCGCAGCTATCTTGGCTTGCAGATCACTCGGGACAGAGCACGCCGCACCATTACCCTGACTCAGTCACACATGGTGCAGCATGTCCTTCAGCGCTTCGACTTCACGTACTCCTCGCCTCAGGCCACTCCTCTGTCTACTCGCCACTCGCTCTCAGCTCTGCCTTCGGATGAGTCTGTAGAGCCGAGTGGCCCGTACCCAGAGCTTGTTGGCTGCCTCATGTACCTGATGACCTGCACTCGACCTGACCTGGCCTACCCTCTTAGCATCCTGGCACGCTATGTTGCTCCTGGGAGACACCGACCAGAGCACATGGCTGCAGCGAAGAGGGTTTTGCGCTACTTGTGCAGTACGTCGGGCATGGGGCTCGTGCTTGGAGGGCGGAGTCGAGTGGTCCTCACTGGTCACGCAGACGCGTCTTGGGTCGACGACCTGGCTACGCAGCGGTCGTCACTGGGTTACACCTTCAGCCTTGGTTCCGGCTCTGTTTCGTGGCGGTCTACTCGCTCGTCTTCTGTTCTCAGCTCCAGCTGTGAGGCTGAGATCTACGCAGGAGCCATGGCTGCATAGGAGTTACGCTGGCTGACCTACCTGCTGACTGACCTTGGAGAGCCGCCTCGTTCTCCTCCAGTTCTGTACGTAGACAACAAGGTCATGCTCGCCTTGTGTCAGGAGCACAGACTGGAGCATAGAACGAAGCACATCGCTCTTCGCTACTTCCTTGCTCGTGAGCTGCAGCAGCGTGGTCAGCTGCGCCTTGCTTACGTGGCCACTCGGGCCAACACTGCTGATATCTTCACCAAGGCTCTTCCGCCTTGCGATCATCAGCGCTTTTGTACTATGCTAGGTCTTGTGCCTACTTGGCCTCACTTGCTTACTTCTTGACCTTACTTGTACTGTGTCTTATATATATCTGCTCTTGTTTGTTTACCTCTATATATCATCCTGCATGTGAACCGGCCTTGAGGCCTTGAACCTTTGCTCAGAATGTGTGGTGACGTTGTGATCCACCCTGAGCTTTGCTTTGGTTTGCTTTGCTTGACTGGTCTTGTGACCCCTTGTGCTGGCTATCCCCCACTTCGCCTATGGGGGTGTGTCAAATTATATGTGTAACATTTATGTAGGCTATAGTACTGGGTCTAGCCTTAGGGGGTACACATATTTTCTCGACACTTGTTTTGTATCCCCCTCCAAACCCTAATTCCACACAACTTCATGCCTAAGATTCTAAGAGAAAGTTGCGAGGGTAGTGAGGTAAAAAATTGCGGAATCAAAGAGTAAGTTGTAAAGGATTGAGATGCAATGTGACACCTGCCATGCAACTGCCCCACTCACATGCAACTGCATCACTCACATGCAACTGCATCACTCACATGCAACTGCATCACTCACATGCAACTGCATCACTCACATGCAACTGCATCACTCACATGCAACTGCATCACTCACATGCAACTGCATCACTCACATGCAACTGCATCACTCACATGCAACTGCATCACTCACATGCAACTGCATCACTCACATGCAACTGCATCACTCACATGCAACTGCATCACTCACATGCAACTGCATCACTCACATGCAACTGCATCACTCACATGCAACTGCATCACTCACATGCAACTGCATCACTCACATGCAACTGCATCACTCACATGCAACTGCATCACTCACATGCAACTGCATCACTCACATGCAACTGCATCACTCACATGTGACCATCCAAGCAGCAAAGCTGTCATCAAATCTCCGGTTCCCTGCATGTGTGCCGTGCATTTGGGATGGCATGGGGGATGACATGTAGAGAGATTGCATAAACATGTGCTATGTCAAAGCTACTGGTGATGATGCACCTGGAATCCACATGGTAACCACATGACACACACATGGTAACCACATGGTGCATGGATGATCACTCATGGGAATGTAGGTAAGCGCGCTTATAGAAAAAATGTGCTGCATTGTCAAAGAAATGGTAAAAACTTCTGAAACAAATAACTATATCATAATGACCATGAGTGCCTCCCCACTCACATCCCTCACAGCCTTGGTTACAACTTACACCTAGGGATAGCCGCCCCTCACTTATGGCTTAACACAACTTCGCAACAGCCAAGCAGTGACGAGGAGTGAGAGCGAGAGAGTGTGTTTAACCCTAACCGTCGTCAAGTCCTCTGGTTGGTACCCAGCGCCCCCAGGTAGGAGTGAGGGCCCACAGGCACTTGTGACTGTGGGGGCACTCAGCATTCTGCATCCACCGAGGACCGTCAAGTCCTCTGGTTGGTACCCGGGTAGAGTCTCATGAGTTCTACTCTCCTTGGTCAAGAATCACAGGCAGTCGTGCTTTTTACTCTGGTCTGGTTGGTCTCACAGGCACTCATGACCTTTTACTCTGGGGGCGATGATTATTCCGCATCGACCGAAAACCTTCTTACATGTTAAGATGAAGAATATGTATTACAGATAAGTCAGCGAGAGAGAGAAGGAGGTGCCATTTAACCCGGGATGGTCCGGACCCCACCCGGGCTGCGTGGATCCGGTTCTTAGGGTTTAGGGCTCGGATGGTCCGGACAATGTTGGGCACGGCGTGAGAAGGAAAGTGTGAGAAGGAAAGTGTGAGGAGGGGTGCCATACAGTGAAGTACTCGGGTATCTTAGGCACTGCTATGCAGAAGCGCCGCAAGGATTGTGACCCAGATGGCCCGGTTCCCTCCTGATAAGTTTGCGGATTGGAAAGCGGGAGACAGGTTGGAGTATGTGAGGGTGGCAAGGGAGGTGCAAACAGAGCGGGGGCTAAATAGTGAAAATAGTGACAAATACTGAATGGAGAGTGACAAAATAATCGGAAAAAGGGGGAGGAAAAGATGCATGCAGGCGGGTGAAGTGACGAGGGCAGGGGGACAGCAAAACAGACATCTGTCTCCCAAGGTCAGACCAAGTGGCCTGCCAACGCTGGTCTGCCAACGCTGACCAGAAAAGGCGTTGTCTCTCATGCCTGCCACCCTGTCGTGTAAAACCCCCTCCATGCCGCCTCACCCACCATCCTCTGCAGCATAGCGCCCGCTTAACTCCCCATGCCGAAACAAACTAATTTGGGTCGACTTAAAATCGGCTCATTACCACGAACAGCAGCAACTGCCCATCCAAATGTCTTTGAGTCAACTCAAACTATACCTCAACCACCAGACCAACACCCTCCACTTGCCGCGTCACCTCACTCACCTCCTCTGCAGCAGGGCTGGCGGCTGGCGTCACTCCCCACCAGCAGCACGAGCACCATGTCCAAGAGAGGAGACGTCGAAATACAGACACTAACAACAACAGACCAACACCCTCCATGCTGCCTCATCTCACCCACCTGCTGTGCACCGCTCACCTGCTGTGCACCGCTCACCTGCTGTGCACCGCTCACCTGCTGTGCACCGCTCACCTGCTGTGCACCGCTCACCTGCTGTGCACCACCCACCTGCTGTGCACCGCCCACCTGCTGTGCACCGCTCACCTGCTGTGCACCGCTCACCTGCTGTGCACCGCTCACCTGCTGTGCACCGCTCACCTGCTGTGCACCGCTCACCTGCTGTGCACCGCTCACCTGCTGTGCACCGCTCACCTGCTGTGCACCGCTCACCTGCTGTGCACCGCTCACCTGCTGTGCACCGCTCACCTGCTGTGCACCGCTCACCTGCTGTGCACCGCTCACCTGCTGTGCACCGCTCACCTGCTGTGCACCGCTCACCTGCTGTGCACCGCTCACCTGCTGTGCACCGCTCACCTGCTGTGCACCGCTCACCTGCTGTGCACCGCTCACCTGCTGTGCACCGCTCACCTGCTCTCCAGCAGGGCTGCTGGCGTCACTGCCCACCACCAGCAACCGCCCATCCACCTCCATGCTCGTGATCACCACCTGAAGGGAGTGGTTGGAAGCGGTTGAAAGCAGTTGAGCGGGTCCAAGAGAGGCGCTGCCTCAAAGGGTTGAACTTGAGCGAGCTTAAGAGAGCCGCTGCCAGCAAGCAGACCATGACGTCAGCGCGCGCCCACCATGACGTCAGCAATCTCACCATGCCATTATTAGCAGGTCTGTCCATTTCTCCATTCTCCCTCCCCCTTCCTCCCCTTCCCCTGCATACGCTTACATGATTCAACGCGATGCCCTTCTGGTCCCCCGGTACGCATCCATAAAGCGCGCCGCATTCATCATGCCAATTGCCTGTCTGTCAAACCTGTATTCAAAACAACTTAGAGAGACCCGAAAATCCCTTTGCCTACCCACGGTTCTCCCTCGCCTGTAGCCGCACATACCTTCCTGGGCCCTGCACTATGCAGCATGTCGCATGCAGTAATGGCGTCTGCTTGAGTCCGGATGCTGTGAGGGAGGGAGGGAGGGAAGCAGAGGGGAGAGATGGTGCTTGGGTAGTGCCAGTATCAGCAACTGTTATTTCTGCTTCCTTCAGCCATACACTTTTGCCTCTCTGGGTCCTGTCCCACAGCATGCAGCTTGCCACATGCAGTGTGGTGATGGCATCTGCTTGAGTCCAGATGCTAGTAGGGAGGGAACGAGGCGGAGGGGAGAAAGGGGAAGAGAAGGGGTGGCAAAAAATACCTCTATTTGAGGTACTTCACAGACTGTCATGTGCAGCATGTCACATGTGGTGATAGCATCTGCTTGAGTTTGAATGCTGGGAGGGAGGGACGGAAACAGAGGCGAGAGAGGGTGAATGGGCAGTTAGTGCGTGGAAGAGGGTGCAAGTAATGGCAAGGCGAGGCGGGTGTTGAGGCAGAGCAGACACGCCATGACGGGACAGTTCGGACAAGAGAGGCTGGAGAGAGATTAGTTTCGATGGAATACTGAAGCAGCACTTATCAGTCGTGATGCTGGGGGCCAGGACAGCTAATACCTGGGAAGCTGAGAAGCATAAGGCAATAAAAAGAACACGATACAGCTTTGAAGCTATTCACCTGAGGCCCGTGAGATTCACCTGAGGCCTGTGAGATTCACCTGAGGCCTGTGAGATTCACCTGAGGCCTGTGAGATTCACCTGAGGCCTGTGAGCTTCACCTGAGGCCTGTGAGATTCACCTGAAGCCTGTGAGATTCACCTGAGGCCTGTGAGATTCACCTGAGGCCTGTGAGATTCACCTGAGGCCTGTGAGATTCACCTGAGGCCTGTGAGATTCACCTGAGGCCCGTGAAATTCACCTGAGGCCCGTGAGATTCACCTGAGGCCTGTGAGATTCACCTGAGGCCTGTGAGATTCACCTGAGGCCTGTGAGATTCACCTGAGGCCTGTGAGATTCACCTGAGGCCTGTGAGATTCACCTGAGGCCTGTGAGCTGCTCTGCTTCGAATTGGTTGGGCGTGATGAGCGTGGCCACTGGCACCACCTGCCATGCGAGCACAGGGGCATGGCAATCAAGGGCGATGAGAGGTCAGTGAAATATGTAATTATCAACAACACATCAGGAACTTGGGTGCGTAAGAGATCGGCCGTGGCGTGATGAGCATCGCCACTGGCACCACCTGGCAGGCAGCAAAACCGCACACTGCGCAACAGGGATGAGAGCTCGGCAGAATTTATAAAGATCGTAAACTGGGCACAGGAGCATGGCAATCAAGGGCGATCAGAGCTCAGTGAAATATGTGAACATCAAGACATCAGGAACTTTGGGTGCTTGGGAGGTCGGCGTGATGAGCGTCGCCACTGGCAGCACCTGCCAGGCAGCGTAGTAGCACGCTGAGCAAAAGGGGTGAGAGCTCGGCAGATCTATAAACATCGCAAGACCAGGAAACTGGGAGACTTGCTAATTGGGCGTAAGGAGAGTCGCCATTGGCAGCACCTGCCAGGCGCAGAGCACAGCAGCACGCTGAGCAACAAGGATGTGCTCAGTTTGATATAGAGGGATTGAGAGATTGGGTGCCTGTCAGTATAGATGGCACCTGCTGGCCTGTGAGAGCACTCAGAACACGCTTGCAAGAGGAGTTGGCACGTCAATGTGAAACTGGCTCTCGAGGGGGCAGGTGTGTTGGTGGCACCTGGTGGATAGGCCAGGTGTGTTGGTGGCACCTGGTGGATAGGCCAGGTGTGTTGGTGGCACCTGGTGGATAGGCCAGGTGTGTTGGTGGCACCTGGTGGCAGTAGATAGGGACAAAGTGTGGTTCGAGTCAACTCAAACCACAATCCCAGAGGCACAGGTGTGGGGTGGTGTGGTGTGGTGTGGAGTGGTGTGGTGTGGTGTGGTGTGGTGTGGTGTGGTGTGGCGTGGTGTGGATGACACCTGGTGGCGGTAGATCGGGACGAGCTCAGGGCGAATGTAGAGACGGCCATCGTCCCCCATCACTGGATCGCACACTGTGGGGAGAGGGGAGACATGGGGGAGAGGAGGAGGGAAGAGTGAGGAGAGGTGGGGTTGGGAAGAGACGAAGAGAAGCAGCAATGTAGATTCGACCGTGGTTCCCCATCACTGAATTGAACACTGTGAGTGCGAGGGCAGGGGAGACATGAGGAGAAGGGGAGGAGGGAAGTTTCGGGGTAAGAGGAGGCAGCAGGCCATACGTGAGGATCCTCAACAGCTACTGTCTCCCATCACTCGATCACACACTGAGGGGAAAAAAACATGGGAGGGGGAAGATGGGAGGAAGGGTGAAGAGAGGTATGGGGAAGCGGTGGCAAGGAAAATCAGCAATGTAGAGACGGCCGTCATCCCCCATCACTGCATCACACGTTGTGAGGGGAGAGGAGAGATGGGGGGGGAAGGGCGGGTGGGGGAAGAGCGGGGCCATCAGGCCTTACTTGTGGGAAGTCTCAACGGCTATCATCTCCCATCAATGGATCACACACTGTGAGGGGAGGGGAGGGGAGACATGGGGGGAAGGGGGAGGGATGGGCAAGGAGAGGTGCGGGAGAAGCAGGTGGCAAGCAGAAGCAGCAATGTAGAGACGGCTGTCATCCCCCATCCCTGGATTGTTCACCATGAGGGGAGGGGGGAGATGGGGGAGAGATGTGAGAGGTAGGGGAGGAGGGTAAGGAGAGGTGCGGTGAGCGGAGAGGTGGCAGGGAGAAGCAGCAATCTAAAGATGGCCATTGTCCCCCATCACTGGATCGCATGCTGTGAGGGGAGAGGAGGGATGGTGGGGGAGGGGGGGTGGGAGGGAGAGAGTAAGGAGAGGTGGCAAGGAGAAGAAGCAATGAAGAAAAGGCCGTTGTCCCCCATCACTGGTTCACACAATGTGAGGGGAGGGGGGAGATGGGAGGAGAGTCGGGGAGATGGGGGAAGATGGGGAGCGAGATGTGAGAGAGGGAAGAGGTACATTAGGTTGGAGTTAACCCCAAAACTGCCAAACCCAGAACTTACCATATATTAGGTTGGGGTTGACTGATCTAAGCTTCTCCACAACCCTCAGGACAGTTTCCAGGAAGGAGAGCGATCCGATGTAGCCTGGTGGGAGGGAATGAGAGGAGAGAGGTTGACTATGGAACAGAGGGGGTGATGCTAGGCACAGCGCATCAGTGTCAGACGAGTGTTTGATTGATCTTAGCTTTTCCACAACCCTCAGAACAGTTTCCCGGAAGGAGATAAGGAAGAAGCAGCACATCCGTGAGCAGGTTGCGTTCAGGACTGCATGTCATCTCATCGGCCTCCCGCCCCTTTGTCAATGCGCAGCGCACTTACGAGTCATGAGCATCAAGACACATGGGCGAGAAGTCAATACAGATGGGCGAGAAGTGAACACACATCCACTGACAACTGCACCCACCAGTGAGCAGGTGCGTGTAGAAGAGCAACCCATTGGCCTCCAGCCCCTCTATCAGCGCCCACAGCTGCTCCCCGTCCAGTATCTGCCCCTTCCAGGTCGGGTACCCTGCACGGGATGCATGGCATGGCAGGCACGCAGGGAACAGAGGGTTGAGAACTCGACATGGGTTACCCTGCACTGCACACACGGGATGCGCGAATCAAGGCACTCGTGTCACGGAGCAGAGGCAACGGCCCGTCGTGCCAGTCTCGCCCCTCTACCAGCGCCCACAGCTGCTACCCATCCAGTGTCTGCCCTTCCACGTGGGGTACCCTGCAGCCGCACGCATGGGACGCATGGGGTGTGTGGTGAGGTTGGAGGAGTTATGGACCCTCAGGCAGCATGCAGGCACCCAGATGGGATGGACATGTGTGCCCGTCCCGTGCCAGCGTGGTTACCACTACAGTGCGGTTACCACTACAGTGCGGTTACCATACAGTGCGGTTATCACTTTATTATGCAGCAGTGCGGTTACCATTATTTGCTCCAGTGCGGTTACCACTGTATGAAACAGTGCGGTAATCACTATATGCACCGGTGCGGTAACCACTATATGCACCAGTGCGGTTACCACTACATGCACCAGTGCAGTTACCAACATTTGCACCTGTGTGGTTAGGGAGCTGCACGGAGTTGAGGGGGTCCACATCGAAGCCTGCTGGGAAGGGAGTGGTTACCACTCTCACTCACCAGTATGGTTACCAGGTTACCACTAAGCACGCGTACCAGTGTGGTTGGAGAGCTGCACGGAGTTGATGGGGTCCACATCGAAGCCCAGCAGCTGCAGGGGGAACACGGCCGCTTTGTTGCCCACATACCCCTGGTGCAGTCACATCACAGCCAACAGGGTACAAGGGGTTTGGGGTTGGAGTTTCTCTTGGTGTTTCGCTTAGTGGTGTTTCTGTTAGGTTTTCTGTTCGAGCATGAGCTGGCCATTTTAAATCAGCGGAGCTGCAGGGGGAGCACGGCCGTCTTGTTGCCGCCCATATAGCTACGGTTGCATGGACCTGAGTACGAACCAGATTGTCAGGGTGAACAAGGTAACTTCCAGGGACATAATGTACACGCATTCAGGATCTAACAGGATCTAGCACAAGCATTCGCAAGTTCACACTAAACGAAGCTGCACATTATCGAACATACGTTCGCATCACCACATGCAGGCTCACTTATGCGACCCAGAGACGGTTACCCTAAGCAACACATTATCCTACTGTGTACCTGAAAGGGACACCTGAGATGGATACCCGAGAAAGACACTCGAAAGGGACACGTGAGAGGACACGTGAGAGGACACGTGAGAGGTACACGTGAGACAGAGGCACTTGAGAGGGGCTCTTGGCCAACAAAGAGCTTATCAGGGAGTTGATTTGGCTGCCATAGGGTTATCGAGTAACCCAAAAACCCTACCTTGAATTGCCTTCGTTACGATGGGGTATAATAAAGACGTCGCCTTTCGTGTGGTTATCAGGCTTACGCGTAGTGAATGCTAACTGGAGGCGAGCGGTTGAATGCGACGAATTCCTCCACGGTCTGCGACGGATACCTGGACGGTGGACGACTGCATGCGATGAATACCTGAACAGTATGCGACTGAATGCTGAGCACGCGACCGCCTCCGTGTAGGGCGACGGGGAGAGAAGGCGTCATTGCAACCGCAGGGGCTAAAGTTGCAAGGGAGGCGATGGCGATCTTAATTTGAAGAGTTATAATAACGTTTTGTACCATAGCGAGTGCATCCGTTGTAGTCTAGTCGGTTAGGATACTCGGCTCTCACCCGAGAGACCCGGGTTCAAGTCCCGGCAACGGAAGCCTTTTTCGCCTTCACATCACTTCCCACACACTCTACTTCTCATTCAGATAGGCGCTCCTGCGAAGAAACTCCTCGAGGGGGCTGCAGCTACCTCTACATTTCTATGTGTGGCGAGCCGATGTGGCAGTTTCTTGGGCTTTGTGCACGACGGACCAGCACAAATATTTTAGCATAAATATGCGACGTGCGCAGGCTCAGAATAACACAACATGTAATGCGGCAGTTCAGAGGATTTAGTCACGAGTTAATGACTGCATTTGTCCTACTGGCGCTGTTCTCCAGGCATTCGATGCCGTCGGAAGAATGTGCAGAGAAGCTGCCAAAACGTTTACTTTTTGGGGGGCAGCCCAAAAAATTGTGTCATCCCTGTCGATACTGTCATAATGGCATTGGTTGCAGAACATGAATTTTGGCGACGACATCAAAGGGTTCGAAACCTCCCCGCATTTTTCCTTTCATGCAAATTGTGGTGCCTGTGCCACCACATGGCAAACCACCCGATAAATGTGAATGGCCACGAGATGGCAAAGGCGTCGGCCAGTTGGGAAAACCGCAATCTCGCCTTGCTGGAAACAAAAACATCAACCAAAGGCGCCCTTGTAACACGAGGGCTGAAACCCTAAACGTGCTTGACGACCTGGGTTGGAGGGGATCGGTTCTATTTTATTTTCGATCGCTTTTTATACCACCGTATACCAGGTGGCGAAAAATTTTTACGCCAGCCCGTGACGATCAACAAGGGGCAAAAGTCTCACTTCTGGGGCCCCCGCTTTCCTCGGTTGAAATACAAAATTTCCCTAACAGGGAAAATGGTTCGAGTGTTGAAACTAACAGACAGGAATGAATGAACTAGTAGCATGCAGGAGTACAAGTAGTAAACCCTAAAGTGTTGTACCCCATATGAGCTACCCCACTACAGCCTACACAGACTATAGTGTATAAGTTTGACACACCCCCATAGGCAAAGTGGGGGAGAACAAGGGGTCACAAGACCAGTCAAGCAAAGCAAGCTCAGGGTGGATCACAATGTCACCACGCAGTCTGAGCACAAGTTCAAGGCCACAAGGCCAGTTCACATGCAAGATGACAAATATATATAACGCTAAACACGCAAGGGCAGGTATATATATGTAACAGTACAAGCAAAGTCAAGAGGTAAGCAAGTGAGGTCCAGTAGGCACAAGGCCTAGTAAAGTGCAGAAGCGCTGATGGTCACGAGGCTGAAGCGCCTTGGTGAACACATCAGCAGTGTTGGCCTCAGTGGCCACGTAGCGAATACAAAGCTGACCGCGCTGCTGCAGCTCTCGAGCAAGGAAGTACCGCAGGGCGATGTGCTTCGTTCTGTGCTCCAGTCTGTGCTCCTCACACAAGGCAATGGCAGCCTTGTTGTCGACGTACAGCACTGGAGGAGAACGAGGCCGCTCTCCGAGGTCGGTCAGCAGGTAGGTCAGCCAACGTAGCTCCTGGGCAGCCATGGCTGTAGCGTAGATCTCAGCCTCACAACTGGAGCCGAGAACAGAAGAAGAGCGAGTAGAGCGCCAAGAAACCGAGCCAGAGCCAAGGCTGAAGGTGTAACCCTGAGACGACCGCTGAGTGGCCTGGTCGTCTGCCCAAGAAGCGTCTGAGTGCCCTGTGAGAACAACTCGGTCTCGCCCTCCAAGCACAAGCCCCATGCCCGACGTACTGCACAAGTAGCGCAACACCCTCTTAGCGGCATCCATGTGCTCCTTCCTGTGACGGCCAGGAGCGACATAGCGTGCAAGGATGCTAAGAGGGTATGCAAGGTCAGGTCGAGTGCAGGTCATCAGGTACATGAGGCAGCCCACAAGCTCTGGATACGGGCCACTCGACTCTACGGACTCATCCGAAGGCAGAGCTGAGAGCGAGTGACCTGTAGGCAGAGGAGTGGACTGGGGCGAGGAGTACGTGAAGCCGAAGCGCTGAAGGACCTGCTGCACCATGTGTGACTGAGTCAAGGTAATGGTGCGCCGTGCTCTGTCCCGGGTGATCCGCAAGCCAAGATAGCTTGTCAGTTCACCCAGGTCTGTACACGTGTGTCTCCTCTGCAGTTCCGACTTCACGTGGGCGAGTCCTGCAGTGTCAGCAGTGGCAAAGACCAAGTCGTCGACGTACACGAGGATGTAGAACGGCGGCAGCGAAGTGTCGGTGCGCAGGAACAGCGACGGGTCAGCTGTAGAAGGCGCAAACCCAAGAGCCGCAAGTGTAGTCCTCAGTGTGTCGTGCCACTCACGCGGAGCCTGGCAGAGACCGTAGACCGGCCGCTGAAGCCTCCACTGGGTACCAGGAGGAAACGACCCAGTGAAGCCAGGTGGGCGGCGCAGCCAGATCTCCTCGTGCAGGCTGCCCTGCAAGAAGGCAGTGCTGAAGTCAAGTGAGTGAAGCTCGTAGTCGCGGTGAGCGGCTATGTGCAGCAGCACCCGAAGAGTAGTCATCTTCGGGGTGGGGGAGAAGGTCTGGAAGAAGTCAACTCCCTCTCGCTGACTGAAGCCTCGAGCCACGTAACGCGCCTTGAAGACAGGCGGAGAACCCGGCGGCCGCTTCACCCTGAAAATCCACATGCCACTGACGATGTTCGCCCCAGGAGGGGGAACCTCGTCGACGTAGGTGCGTGTGGACTTCCAGGAAGCCATCTCGGCATCCATGGCTGCCTGCCACTGAGAGGAGTAGGGACCCGCCATCGCCTCAGCGTAAGTGCGCGGGGTCGGGATGTCTGGTGCATCCGGGTCTCCCTCAGGGGCAACTAGCAAGGACACGAGACGGGGCAAAGCAGCAGCAAGACACTGGAACTCCTCCTGTCTGTCCTCAAGGACGTCCGTGCCAAGAGCATACTCACCCCCGACGGACGGAGGACAGACAGACTCAGACTCAGACTCAGCAACCAGGCTAGCAGCGTAGTCTAGACGACAGGCAGCAGCAAAGTCAACCAACTCAGCGACCAGGGCAGACGCAGCCGAGGACTCAAAGGTAGGGTCAGTGACAACAGTAGCGAGGAGACGCGTGACAGTAGGGTGCTCAGCACGATACCGGTCAGACTCAGGGTCCGGAACGGCAGGCAAAGAGGACGCAGGAGGAGACGGTAGAGGGACACGCTGAGGAGCAGTAGAGGGACGCAGAGTCATGTAGTGAGTGCCAGAGACAGGAGGAGGACGCTCACGACGGACACGACTACCAGTGCGAGCAGGACGAACAGGCGACGCAGGACGAGACTCAGGCTCACGACGCTCTGTAAGACCTCCTGTGGGACCAGCGTAAGGAGAGGGAGCAGGGAGAGGCGAGGTAGGCGGTAACTGTGACTGCGGCTGGACAGGCGGAGGACACTCTACGGAGGGAGGAGGACAAGGAGGAGGAGCCTGCCCAAGAACCTGCTGAAGGAGCGGGACGAAGTACGGTCGCGGCCGCGCAGCGTCTCCAGAAGCAGAAGAGACTCCAGCGGCCGGGTCCTCAGGACCAGTAGGAGCTCCAGCGTCCGGGTCCTCAGCACCAGTAGTAGCTCCACCACCCGGGTCCTCAGCAGCAGCATCAGCACCACCAGTCGGGTCCTCAGCTCCAGCAGCAGCTCCACCGTCCGAGTCCTCAGCACCAGCAGTAGCTCCACCGCCCGGGTCCTCAGCACCAGTAGCAGCGCCAACGTCCGGGTCCTCAGCACCAGCAGCAGCGCCACCGCCCGGGTCCTCAGCTCCAGCAGTAGCTCCAACGTCCGAGTCCTCAGCACCAGCAGCAGCTCCACCAGGCGGGTCCGCAGCACCAGGAGCACCACTCCGAAGACTGCAGCGCCGTGTGTACCACTCGCGGATCTGCTGAATGGGGGGGAGCTCCTGGGTAGGAGGGGAAGTACCGGGACGAGCTCCAGCAGCACCTCTCCGGAGGCGGCAGTACTCGAGGTACCTCTCCTGCAGCTGCTGGGAGGAGAGAGCTCCTCCAGGTGTAGCACGCTCAGGCTCAGCACCCCCAGACGCAGCACCCCCAGGCTCCGCACCTCCAGGCTCAACACCCCCAGGCTCCGCACCCCCAGACTCAGCACCCCCAGGCTCCGCACCCCCAGACTCAGCACCCCCAGGCTCAGCACCTCCAGACGCAGCAGGACGAGAGTCAACAGCTACCTCGACAGGCTCACCCGGGTCTACCTGGGACACACCTGAGGGAGCGGCACCCTGAGGGGGGAGGGGGTCTGGTACCTCTGCACCTGGAGCGAGGAAGAGAGGCGGGGGGGGGAGCGGGGCAGTGCGGTAGGGGAAGAGGCGGTAGTAGGGGACGGACTCGTCAAAA